AGAGAACTTTTAAGTAACTCACTTGAATTCTTACCCACCAGCACCTCCAAATAACCCAGTCCTCAGACTCTCTGGATCCACCTCCATCCTATCGGTCCTATGCCCAAACTCCTACATTTCCCACTGTGCCCTAGGGACCATTCTCTACTGTCAATATTATCTGCTTTTAGGAGTCGAGACCACAGTGAGATGCACTGCAAACTAGGGCAGGAGCTTACATTGTGAGAAAGCTGAACATTTTAGGTCAAAATATAGATTTATAGGCTGTTCTAGACAGGGGAGGCTGCATGGATAGTCTGGACATCTGTCCCCAAGTCTCCCATAGAATTGTACCAAATGCATCAAAAGAAGCAATACAGTGGTCCAAAAAAGTGGGCAGGCAGGGAAGTGCCTAACAGCTATATATGTGGAATAGTTCAGTAACTTTTAAGTTTTATGCCTACAAATTAGGTATGTATGTATATGCTTAAAATAAGAGACCTTTAAATTATATAAATTATTGTGTGGATGTGTGTATACTTGTGTGGTCACAAACATGCCACAGTGTATATGTGGAGATCACAGGACAGCTTGAAGGAGTTAGGTCTCTTCTTCTATCATGTAGGACCCAGAGATCAAACTCCGGTCGTTGGGCTTGGCTGCAAGAGCCTTTACCCACTGGACCATCTCACCAGCCTAAATAAGAGACACTCAAAGGTACTACATGGGACTGGAGAGATGGCTCTGTGATTGAGAGCCCTTGCCAAGGACCCAGGACCAGTTCCCAGCACTCTCATGGCAATTCACGATTGTTTGTAACCAGTTCCAGAGAATCTAATGTCCTCTTCTGACCTCTCCGGGCACTGCATGCATGTGATACATTTACATCCATGCAGACAATACACTCATCCACATTAAGTAAAAATAAATAAATCTTGAAAGGTACTGTAACTTTGGAAGATAAATGGCCTCTTTAAGAAACATGTCATAGTCTTTTATTTCAATGGATTGTCTAATCAAAGAAAAATCCCCATCATAGTAAAGTTTCCTTCACAGGAAAGTGAACACTTTTCCAAGTGAAAATTTCTGATACATTGGCATTAAGTCACTCAGTACTTCTGTGTTTTAGGCTTGGTATAGTCTACACCATTCCAAAGGAAAGAGGAAGTGCAATTTTATCTCTCTCATTCTGACATTCCAACACTACCATCTCATGTGAAGTACTTACATTTATAGGATACCTTCAATGAAATACCAGCCTAAATTGAGACTAAATTGAAGAAGACTCTGTTAGGTTTAAGAAAAGGGAATGAGATTCAGTGGTATTGCAAAGGTATCATCATCATCATCATCATCATCATCATCATCATCATCATCATCTGACCTTTTCCATGCTCCTATGATATCATTTAGGTGTGGCTAGGTAACATGTGAACTAGGAAGAACTTGGATAATCACTGACACAAACCACTTCACCGTTAGGTAGAAGCTGGTTAGAAGTTCCCATCACAGGCTGTTTGTTACGTCTCTGTTGCTGAGGCAGAGTCCTGACCAAAAGCGACTTAAGGAAGAAAGGGTTTATTTGGCTCACATTTCCAGAGGGGATGGAGCCCTTAATGCTGGGGAGGCTAGCCTAGTGGTTAGGAAGCATACTGATCACATTTCAAAGACACACAGGAAACAGAAGAGAAGAGGAAGCAGGGCCACAGGCTATAAAACTCAAAGGCTGGCCCAAGTGACATACTTCCTAAAGGTTCTCAGCCCTCACAAACAGTGCCACCAACCAGGGACCGAGTGCTTGACTACATGAGCCTATGGAGGACATTACTCCTTCTGACCACAACACAGGCCCTTCCCTGGCTTTCTGAATGAGGGTCTGTAGATGACTTTGGTCCTTGTTTAATGCTTGAGATTCACTGATCTGGCTCAGTGTCTGCAAACTTCTTGTAGTTAGTATCTAATTCATCATTTGGGATCAACTAGTGAAAGTATTCAGTGAATCTGGTTAGTTGGTTGGTATTGATGATCTGCCTGGCATTCTCTTGGATGTTTCTGGAAGGAGTCCTTTTCAACCCCTCCAGCTCATAGGAGTTCTGTACACCAATCCATAATCTAGGCCTAGCCCCCTCTGAAAGGTGACTGAGCAGGAAAGGGATTTGTAGGTTCACTTATAATGCCCTGAAAGATCCAATGAGAAACTCACTATGACCAGGGCTTTTATAGCTCAGGTAAATTAATGTATGACGTCAATGCTGTGGAAGCATCCACCCTTGGTGTTACTTAAGCATTATGTTCGAAGTAACTTGAGAAAACTAGCTTTAAAAAGTCAAGACATAGAAACGAGACACTTTGGGTTACTGAGCCTTTTTTTTTTTAAGTCTCAAGAGGGCATTCTTCATTTGCAAATCTATTACGTTCTGTATATATGTAGACTACTTCAGTTGATGGGACTTTTAGGGTTTATGTTTTTATTCATAACGCACCAAAATTGGTTACAGGAGTGTGCCAAGCACCTTGCTCAGCTCAGATGTGGTCTGGAGCTTTATTTTATGGGGTGAACACATTATATGCTGGGAATGCTTATTAAGTATGGTGCATGATTCCCGGTCACAAATTAAGACTAGGAAAGAGCTGCTTTCTGCTATGTGGCAACTTGGCATCCCCAGGGGCTCCCCGTTGCTGAAGCGTAATGGTGCCCAGTCGATTCTGTAGAAATTGGCTGTTTGACATCTGCTTTGAACGCTGAGCGTGTGCTCGACTTCTGTTTTCTCAAGGCCTTACAGTGTAAGGGCGTAATAAATCCTTGATGAGAATTTCATGCTCCTGTGGTGCCAAGGTAACCCTTGCTTTATATACCCCTTGCTTTTGCTAGTTGGAAAGAGACAGTTGTCGGATATTCGTGGAGTGGACTGTCAGCCATTGCAGTGGGCTTGGCTGAATGAATTCAGAGCCAAGTCCCAGAGCCGAACTGAACGAGCCTGGTGACTTGCAGCTCGTTCCTGTTGGCCACTTTAGCCCGCTTTCTGTTACTGGAAGGAAAGTTATTTGGGATGGCAGGGGTCTTTTTGGTTTGGTTTGGTTTGGGGGGTCTCACTCCATCACTGATCGTCCTTGTTGTCTGGGGGCCCTGGTGAAGCAGAACACCATGGCAGGGAGTACATGGTAGACCGAAGACATTCCCCTCAAGGCTAGGGAGTAGAAAAGAGATAGAGGAGGGACTTGGTCCCTCTGTCTGCTTGAAGGCATACCCTTGATGATTGAGAGACCTCCCACTAGGCTCCATCTTTTTTAATTAAAAAATTCTTTAAGATTATTTTATGTGTATGGGTGTTTTGTCTGAATGTGTGTCTATGTTCCACATATGTGCCTGGTGCTTGCAGAAGTCAGAGCGGGTATCAGAGCTCCTAGAACTGGACTTACAGACGGTTGTGAGCCACAATGTAGGTGCTGGGTATCAACCTCAGTGCTTTTAACCGCTGAGCAATCTCTCCAGCCGCAATCCCATCTTTTAAAGGCTCCACCACTCCCAATACCTGGGGACTAAGCCTTTAATGTGTGGGGCCTCCGTAGGACACCTTAAGAACAAAACTGTAACACCCAATAGAAAACCAACAACTTTTGGCTCAAACACCACCCTTGCTCTATCTATCTCCTTCCTTATTCCATGTCCATAGTTCTTGTAGCCCCTCCTTCAATGTGAAATGACCAACCTCCAAGTGATATCCTTTCTCTCTACACCACTTATCAGCCAACTCGCTCTCAGGTGAGTGACATATAGACCCAGGAAGCTGCAGCCCCAGGTCTGCCCAGGGTGTCCTTGAGCATGGGGGCCATGCCAGGTGGCACAGTACTTAAGAAGCAGGTCTTGGGGCTGGAGAGATGGCTCAGCGGTTAGGAGCACTGACTGCTCTTCCAGAGGACTCAGGTTCAATTCCCAGTGCCCACATGGCGGCTCACAACTGTTTATTACTCCAAGATCTAACACCATCACACAGACATACATTCAGACAAAACACCAACACACATAAAATAAAGATACATTATTTAAAAGAGAAAAAGAGCAGGTCTCTGAACATCGCTCTAGTTTACACACAGCCCACGTGTGAGCGCAGCCACTACTCCCCTCTCTGGAGGTGACTCAGGGGCTTCCTTGTAAATCCTCCAAATCAAATGTCAGTTTACCAACTTGGGATTAAAAAGAAATCAGCCCTGAGGTGCTAGTGGCACTTTCTATGCGGGTGAACCATCCTGGTTTGCACTGTGGTGAACAGCTCATTAACCTACGTTACTGCCCACTGAGTCCTTAGGTTTATAGGTCACTTCCCAGAGTGTGGAGGGATCTTGACATCTGGGCCCCTTCCATCCTCCCAGGCAGGGGCTACTTCCCATTCTGGGCTGTGCTCCTACCCCTCCAGTAGCAGAAGACCTCAGGCCTGGGAATGTGCAGACTCAGCCTCCTGCCCTGGCTACCCGGCAAACGCATCATCATCTCTGGGTAGAGATGGACTCTTCTTTCCTGTTGCTCTGGTTTCTTCCTGCCCTTTCTTTCTTATACCCTGCCTGTTTTCTTTCCTTTCTGTGAATTCTCTGGAACTTCCCTTGCCAGCCCCAGCACTGTGCAGGATGCATAACACAGCATAGGGGGTGGGGGGTGGGGAGGCTCTTCCAGTGTTCTGGTTTATTGGGAAGACATGTTCAAAGGCCCTGGTAGCTAGATTGCCTATGTTTGGTCTTGGACAGTGCCCATAGCCCCAGGTTTACTTGCCTCTCACTCCACTCAGCAGTGGATGGCAAACTGGCTGTGTTTAGGTTGCTTTAGAGATGAGGGTGCATCAATGCAAACACTTGAAAGCCAGACTCCTGTTTTCACAAAGCTTCTTCACATGTGAGCATAAAATGTATTGCACTGGATTTGGAGGTTGTCTGGTCACTGCCTCTGAATGCTGCCTGTGTGCTGCCGCTGTCCCCTCAGGAAGGGTGCCTGCTGTCCTGACTCCTCCCTCTTCTCTCTTCTCTCACAGAGTGTCCCCTCTGCAGAAGTCTGAGATCGTGGATGTTGTGAAGAAGCGGGTGAAAGCCATCACTCTGGCCATCGGGGACGGTGCCAATGACGTGGGGATGATCCAGACAGCCCACGTAGGGGTCGGGATCAGCGGGAACGAGGGCATGCAGGCTACCAACAACTCAGATTATGCCATTGCACAGGTCAGCCTCCCTTTTCACAATGACGGCAGCTGGGCAGAGGAGACAGCCCAGAGCTCAGCCAAGGACTCTGCCCACCTAGGCAGGTCACCATCTAGATGAACTGATGGCTCTGTTGTTGGAGTCTTGAACAGTTTGAGGCCCCTTCTCTGGATTGGGTTTCCTTGGGCCAGAGGTGGGACTGGCCCATGGACCTGTCATTTCAAAGATGTGCCTTTCCTGGTAGACAGGTCCCTAGGCTCTAGACCCTCTCTACTCCTGTTCCTTCTGGGGTGTGTGTGTGTGTGTGTGTGTGTGTGTGTGTGTGTGTGTGTGCACCCCTCACTGAAGAACAGCTGTTCTCAGAGTACCATTCTCTGCTAGACTCTCACTCAAGGGCCTCCTTTCTTCCAGAAGTGCTGGCATGCTCTGGGCAAGTGGTTAAAGCCAGAACAAAGCAGTCACTTGGAGATATCCCCTCTTGGCAATCATGGCTGGGAACCCTCTAGGACCCCTGCCCTGAGGTGAACTGAGAGGCCAGGGGCCAGGTGACTCATGGAGAGTAGCAAGCAGCCTCCTGCAGTCAGGCCCAGTTCGGTCCGTTCTTCTCTAAACTGTGTGTCGCCAGCATGGTTCTGATGTGCTTTGTGGTTATTGGCCCTGATGTGTGTCCTGGGTACCTCACATGTGCTCCAAGAATCCAAGAAATTCTAACTCTTCATGATAGCCAGAAGAGTCAGCCTCAGGACCCTTCTAGGGAATATCTGGGCTATCTGGCCTGGTAGATCATCTAGAAGTGTAGTCCCAGGGAATACTGGCATGTTCTCCCAGATACCCAGTTGTAGGGTCCTGTGGCTAAATGCCTGTATTTGCTGTGGCACCAGCCCCCCCACCCCCTGATTCCTTGAATAGGCTTTTGAAGAACATGTTAACCCTAGCTACATGATTACAAGGAACAGAGGCGTTGACACCTTTTCAGCTAAAATCAGGAGATGCATAGAAAACACCCTTCTTATAAGCCCCAGAGCTTGTGGTCTGGTCCTCTGCTACTTTGGGGGCTCTCCATCCCTGAAGGAAGCTCTGTTTGATCACCTCTCACGCTTCCTTCTAGTTTGAGGTTCTGCAAATGTAGCAAGAAATTACCCAGACCATGTGGCTTTGGAAATTGAGTAAGTCAGTTTTATTTCTTTGTGGACTTCGAATCCCTGAACTGATCTCTGGCGTGGGCAGTAGGAATTCTGATTTTCCAGGTGAGAAACCTAAAGGTCCTATGCACCCAACGACTGGCCTCAGGGATGAGTACAGGCCCAACATCAGAGAACAGCAGAGCCCCGTGAACTCGGGGGCTGCCACACACACCTGCTCCATTACTTTGCCGAGTCAGCTGTGCAGAGGCCCGTGGGACCCGCGCTTCCTGTCTGCTGTCAGCAACTGTGGATGTTATACACCCCAGCGTTATTAAATACTTGAGTTATAACATCATACGGCTGGAAGGGAACTTAAGAGGTTTCCTAGGAGTTACAGGCAAATATTTGTCTGCTTTTCTCTTTAGAATGTCTAGGGAGCAGGGATTCCTTACTGAAACTGCACATGGATAGGATGTGGAAGGTGAAGCAACCACTTTTATTAAAAGGAAGCATCCGAGAGGGGTGGGATAAATCCTTCTAAGTCATTTGGGGGTTTTCTCTGCCCTCCAGGGTAGTAGCAACTTTTACCAAAGGAACCTAAGGCAGCCACTGATACCCATGCCTGGATTTCCCTGTTCATTGTGCTTCAGAGGCACACTGTCATCTCAGGGCTGAGTTTGTGCCAAGCACTAGATTCTAAACTGCCTCTTCCTTAATTACCGTGCCAGAAACACCACCAGTTGGGTGAGTTCTTCTGCCCCATTGAAGTGATAACCATGTCTGGATGAAGTTAACACCATGTTCTTTATGATTTTTGATATGGGTGGCTGCATTTTTTTTAATTGTGTTTTGAAGGAAGTGCCCCATAAGGTAAAGAAAAGATGCTGAGAAAGTCCTGTAGTGGGCATTCCCTGGTTCCATGCCCTTGCTGTCTGCCTTATGCTTGCATACACAGCAGCTGCTGGACAGGTGACTGGCCACTGCTGGCCACCTAAGCTAGGCAAAGGGACTGTGTGGTATGGTGTGTGTCCACAGACCTTGGCTCCCAGTCTGCCAGAGAACATTCCATCTCCCAGCCTTTGTCTGTCTTGAATGACTCTGGGGAGATTTAGGGTATGTGCTATTGGAATACTGTGGCTTTGTCTCAGACTACAAGAGCCCTTAAATCACTCCTACTCAGAGCTAGTCAGCTGCCCCTGCTTGCACAACCGGGTACTCTGAGTGGGAGATAAAGAAGGACTACACCATGGATGTAGAAGTGGAGGCTGTGTGTGTGTGTGTGTGTGTGTGTGTGTGTGTGTGTGTGTGTGTGTGTGTTGCATTTGTATGTCTGTATATCTCCATATCTATGTGCCTATGGGTAAGTCTGTCTAGGTGCCTCTGTAGGATATTGGAAGTATAAGAGCTTTTAGTTGACACACTGACAGACCACTATACTCATGTGCATTCCTTTCTTGAATCAAACCTTTGTTGGGTGAGTGTCTCTGCCCCTTCCTCCCGTGGTCCACCATAAAACGTGTGACCGGATCTGACGGAGGTGTCCTGTCCCAGTGTGCTTTTCTTACAGTCCAGATAGTCACCTTCTTTGCCTAATTAAGACTCTGGAAGGCATTTAGCGCAAAGAGTTCCACAGCAGTCATAGTGAGAGTCCAGCAGCTTGTTTGGGGACAACAACAACCATTAGTCACTTGAAGAGAGTTCTCCTTCTCAGCTGCCCTGAGAGTACCACCTCAGGAGAACAGGTTTTGTGTTTGTTTTGATTTGTTTGTTTTGTCGGCTTCCTAAGGGTCTGGTTTCCTCCCCTTCCCTGTCTGTTTTCTGCTCATAAAGACAGTCCATGCCTTTCACTCCTCAAGGACAGGCTGCTCTGAACTTTGTCACTGTCCCTTTTCAGTTTTCCTACTTGGAGAAGCTGCTTTTGGTTCATGGAGCCTGGAGCTACAACCGGGTGACCAAGTGCATCCTCTACTGTTTCTACAAGAATGTGGTCCTCTACATCATTGAGGTAAGGAGCATCCCTTCCCTTAAGGAGGCAGGCCTCTGCAGCGGACGTCTTTAGACATTGAATCCATCTTCAGAAAGGGGTTGTTAATGGAAAAGTAAAGATACTATTGGATCTTACTAAGATCTGCGTCGTGCAGCCTCCTTTAAGCTGGCTGTACCACAAGGCTTGTAATAGGTAGCCAAGGCTAGTGCAGCCTTTCTTCTTCATCCAACCACTCATTCCTCTCGGTCTCCCCATCCCTGCCCTGTGCTCCTCTTCCCTCCCGCTAGCTTGTGTTGGTGGTGGCAGAGAATACTGCTGTCACTCTCTCCTTTGTCTTGCTGAGGCAGAGTGAGACCAGTGTGGTCAGAAAATAGAGGTGCCCATCTTTCTGGGTGACTCAGACTTTTCCAGACGACCCGTCCCGTGTTTTTCTTTCCTCGCACGAACAGGACCTGATTCCCTGCTGCATTTGGAATCTGCTGTTTCCTGATCATGCCCTCACTCTCCCTGGGGTTTGGGGATGCTAAGGCGCATGTGGCAAAGGTGGGAGTGAGGGGAGCATCTAGTAGGAAACTGATGAGGTCATTTCAAGTGGTATATTGAGTTCCTGTTCTGTCATCCTTGTCTTGGTTAGGTTTTTAGCGCTGTGGTAAAATGCCAACCAAAAGCAACCTGGGGAGGAAAGGATTAGGTCAGGTTAGTTGTAGTCCACGGCTGAGAGAAGTCAGGAAAGGAGCTCAAAACAGGAACCTGAAGGCAGGAACTGATGCAGAGGCCATCCAGAGGACTGATAACTGGCTTGTTCCCCGGGGCTTGCTCTGTTTGTTTTGTTACACACCTCAAGACTACCTACCTGACCATGGGTGGCATCACCCACAGTGAGTTGGGCCCTCCCTCATCAATCATCTATCAAGAAAATGCCCTACAGACTTGCCCATAGGCCAGTCTGATGGAGGCATTTTCTCAAGTGAAGTTCCCTTTCCAAGATGACTTCAGTTTGTGTCAAGTTGACAAAAACTAACGAGCACAGGCCTACCGTTTTCCAAGATGGTGATTCATTTATGAGAAAAACACATGCTTGCTAGGTAGAGGGCAAGAACCCGGAAGTGGACGAGGTTCCTTATGTTTGCTGTTTGATACTGGTCACATGGCTCTTCCTTCCTGAGAACAGCGCTGCTATAAAAGTGTGTCTTTGAGGCTATCTTGACATACCAGATTGCCAGATTGGGGATGTGGTTTTGTGGTAGAGCACTTACTCACCATGTGCAAAGCCCTGGATTCAGTCCCCGGTACTAATACCAAATAATAATCACAACAATGAGAGATGGGGGTGGGGGGTTAAGTTAAACTTGGCTACTGTTAAAAAGACCATAAAAAGTTTTAGCCAGAAAGAGTGGCACATGCCTGTAATCCCAGCACCTGATAGGTAGACAGGAGGGTGAGGGTTTCATGGTCAGCCTCAGCTATTCAACGAGTTCCAGATCAGCCTGGGCTACATGACATCTTGTCTAAAAGGGTGAGGAGGAAGAAGAGGTGGAGGAGAAGAAAGTGGTGGAAGTCGTCTTTGGAGCAATAGAAATCAATTTTGCCTCTGTTTGAAAATCTCGTTTTATTATGGTATAATGTTCAACTCCTAGTGAAAATAGTAACTAAGGAAGAAATTGACTCTTCCCAGTGCGGTCTCCCAAGTCCCCAGCTCGAGCAGGTGGCTTGCTGTTGAAGCAGTGACCAGCCACTACTTCATCAGCCTGTTAACTCTTTCCTACTGAATCCTTCCGGTCACATGTACAGGTTGATGCCATTTGTCAGGTAACCACACTAGGACAGGAGTTTTTCCCAAGCTGTACAGGTTGTTTGCAGTGCATGGCTGCCCAGCCGAAGGCATCAGTGAGACACAAACAGCCTGTGCGTCCATGTTCAAGCCCACCTGAAAACGGCATTTGGCTGGTTTGCATAAAGGGCAGTTTCCCAGCTGCTCTGTGCACCCAGAGTGTGGCCATCTCTGCATAGAAGATGGCTGGTCTAGTTGACTCAGTAGCTCCCAGTGTGCTGGGAACACCCCTGATCCTTAAAGAACCTCACAAGTGATTAGAAGAGACCTTGGCCAACAGCCTGGCCTGTTCTCTCAACCCCAAGTCCTCTGTGTCAAAGGTCCTGCCTGCTTACAGTGAACAGCAAGTAGATACCTAGCAGGACCTGGGGGTGTTTGTAGATGTAATCACTATATAATTCAGGGTAGGGAGGTTCAGATCCATGTGGATGTTGGTGTCACACATTTTGCTATCACTATCTTCCTCTTGCTCCAATTTTTACTGTTCCTTTTTGGAATTTAGAAATGTCTGTCCCCCGCCTGCAAGCTGCCAGCTTTTTTTTTTGCACACACGATAGCAGTCACTCCTTAGTGTCACTTGGGGTCATAGATAATAGCTTGGGCAGCATAAAAGGAGCTGGGATCCTACAGATCGTCCCAAGTTTCCCAGCATTCTGACCCTATAGCTGTGGGCTTTATACAGCTTCTTTATAATCTGGCTTTCCTCACTACCAGCAGATGGCTGATAGTCTAGACTTCTTATCAAGATGTTCTACGTGGGGCTCCAAACCTTCCGCTTCCCAGAGCACCCCTCAGGGGCCCTTCTTAGTCATTTAAACCCACTATCTTGCTTTTGTCTCTCTCTCTCTTTTCTTTTTTTGCTTCAAGTGGGCTAAAGCTCAGTAGAGCACCCTTTTAGTACGTCTGCAAAGAGCTGCTTGGAATGGGGCTCTGAGTGCTGAGTGAGGTAGCTCCTCAAATGACTGGTTGCAGCTCTGAATTGCTAAACGGTCTGCTGCAAAAGGCTCTTCCATACATTCCTCAGAAAGCTTTAAAAAATGTAAAAGCCTCCATAAGTCTGTGTCTCGGATTCTGGTTAGGATTTCTGGGAGGCTCTAATTTGGAAACCAAAAGAACAAAACTCTTGACTGGTTCTTGGTCAGAATAATGCCAAATTACTGCCCTGGCACCAGCATGTACTCCAGATGTAACTTCCGAGTGGGGAGGTACCACTTGCATGCTGTTTTAGTATGTTTTGAACCGCAGGATCAAAGATCATTACAGAAAGAATTTGCTCATTTGCAAAAAAAAAAAAAAATACAAAGATAAGGTTATAATTAATGATATAAGTGAGAACAAACTAAGCATGTTACTTGTGTGTCTTATGGTTTCCTTGTGACTCACAGAGGAACCGTTGTAGTAGTAATTAATGTGAACTCATCTCCAGTGCCCTCCGATACATGTAACTACCGGACATTTTACAAAAGTAGTCTAAAAGCAATATGGGTAACATGCATATGCACACCCACTCTGTGGCCTGGCTTATTTTATGAGGACTATTATATTATCTAGATTTCTGGTGAAAATTGTGGCATGACAGGTCCTTCCTGCTTGGTATACTATTCCATAAGAGTGGGGTTCCTACACAAGGAAAATATGCATTATTCTGGATGCTGTATGGAATGCACACTGGAAGTTTCCACTGCTTACATGGTATCTACCCTTACATGTTTCTCTACAGTTACACATAGACTTTTTTTTTTTAAAGATAAATGTCATCATGCTATGGAGCATGATCTACAATTCACATTTCACTAGAATGGTCCCTGAGAACCATTGCCCACTCCTTCACATAGACCCTGGGTATGTGTCCCTGAGAACCATTGCCCACTCTTTCACATAGACCCTGGGTATGCGTCCCTGAGAACCATTGCCCACTCCTTCACATAGACCCTGGGTATGTGTCCATGAGAACCATTGCCCACTCCTTCACATAGACCCTGGGTATGTGTCCCTGAAAACTATTGCCCACTCCTTCACATGGACCCTGGGTATGCCGTCCCACTGTGTGATCCCCTGCAGCCTGTTTAGTCTCTTCTGTATTGACTGAGCATCTGTGTCATCTCCAGTTTCATCTGTAAGAAACCTTGTGGAACAGCAATGTTCCCACTCCCGAGGCCATAGGTATTCCAATATGATGTTGGTCTAGTTCATCCGTTATATTGCTCTGCCTTGAACAAGCCACGGATCCATTGTTGCCGACAGATCTGCTAAGCATTCATTGAATGCACCACATAAAATTTTTCTAGGTGAAGTGGCTATTGTTGCAGCCATTTGAAAATAGGAACAAAATGGTGGCCCTTGTGGCTCCTTCAAGGCCCCCACAGCAGGTAAAACCAAGAATAGCACGTAGCCATTGCCTCCGTTCCGTTGCTAGTGCCTCATTTTAGTAGTTTTCACCTTCATGGCTGTTGAGCTTTCTTGGCTGTCTCTCTGGAAGCCGGGATGGGATTCCTGAAACATACGCCTGACCAGTTCCAGTGGCCAGCAGGGTGGCTGGGGAAGAGGTGCTCGGAAGCACTGGCAGTGAGCTGCCAGGTACCCGGGACCCCAGTGACCCCTCTCCATCTGTCTACCCGACCCTGTGAGAGCTGGGGCCCACTCCCCACTGCCTTCATTTCCCACAGCATCTTCTTCCTTTGTTTTCTGCCAGTGCTGTTGAAGTACAGCTAAAATACTGCAAGAGGTGCCCTCTTTAGTGTATAGTTCTACCAATTAGAACTGGGTTTCTATTAGAAAAACGTCCCATTTTTGTCTTCCTCCCACAGGTAGTAAGAGTGTCACAAAGAGCTTTGGAGAAGAACAGGGTGGTGGCTGCGTAGTGATGTGCGTGTCCAGAGCTGTGCACTTTAAGAGAGCTAAAATGGTAGAGTTTGTGTTAGATCTACTTTAGCACAATTGAAATAAAAGCTGGAAAGTGGAAAGGGTCTCAATGCTTTGCCGCCTTAGCCACACTGAGGGAAATGCAGTGTAAAGGCCGATTGTATGGAATTTTACATGGAGTTTTGTTTTGCATTAAACCAATTACACACTGAGTTTTGTAGCGGCAGCCAGATGGACTGTTTTCCAAAGGTAGAACTGGCTAGGGACTGGAAGATTCAAGCTCCATGCAGATGGGCTTCCTGGAGCCAGCAGGAGAGGGGCATCC